GAAAGTGATTTTTTACTCTCTATCTTTTTTGTTATATATATATGTTTTTGTCTCTGAGAGATGAGCGCGATAAAAAAAAAGAGGTGAGGAGGGGGGTGGGGGTGTGTCTATGTGAGAGTGAGAGTTGGGAGAATGTTAAAAATAAAAAAAAAAAAAAAAAAATATATATTTGAAAAAAAATGGGGATATGTTTTATATTTTAAAAATAAATATATATACAAATGTAAAAAGAGGAGAGATTTAAAATTTATATTTCTGTGGATGTCACTTAATAAATTTTTTAACACATGATATACAAAAAATATAAGCATTTTACAGTGTGAGATATATATATATATATATATATATATATATATATATATATATATATATATATATATATATATATATATATATATATATATATATATATATATATATATATATATATATATATATATGTGTGTGTGTGTGTACAAACGCGGTTGTTGAGGATGATTTTAATCACTTGATTTGATTTGTTCAAAATAATTTTATTTGTTTGACTTTACGTTTTACATGCGGATTTTGTGTGTGTGCTGAAATGGTAATTAATTAAATCCACAAAATGACATTTAATGTAATTGAATAGCATGATAAATAAATGTATAATAACGTAAATTGTAATACCATAAATATGGCAAATAAAATAAACCATATAAGAATATTATAGTTATTCAAGATCCATAATTTTGGTCAAATATTAACCATATAATTCCATGATCTACTTTCCTCAATTATTACAATAAATACAGTTTCCTTAATATCCTTTCATTAACTTATTTAAAATGTTAAAGTTGAGTATAAATACTCTTGATCCTAACTCATTCATCTCATTCTTTCTTCACATGTTTTGTTATAATCACATCAAACCACGGTACTTGCTTAACATTTTGTTCTTTCATCTTTTCGTTTTGCAATTGTATTTTATTTTTCTTAATTTTTCGGCATGTTCATCCGAAACATGTCATTTGTTGTCTATTGTTTATTATCTTATCTGTTGAAATATATACATATATAACAATCTAACTCATGTTTTTGTTTTTGTTTATTGAAAACTCATGGATGGCATTGTCTATGTCATATGCAGCGACATCGGCAAGAGAGAAGTCATGTGACGTTGTGTAGCCTGCAAAGATATGATCCATATTTATGGTATGGATGTATTTTTACAAAATTTTATCTTTGTTTTTCCATCTTTTGATTATACATGCGATGATTGTAAATTTTATTTCGACAAGGAAAAAGTTAAGGTTAATGAAGTTGAGCATGTAATAAAAACTAAAACATTCGAGTATTTCTTGATTTATAATAGAGATTGATATATACTTTATCCAATGTATTTGAATAAATTTTATTTTATATTTATAGCCAAAAAACATTTTTAACATGTTTTGCAAATTATTTGTCTTTCTTTAATTTTTTTCCCTAGGTATTATTATGTTTTACATGTACTTTCATTATTTCCTATAATAAAATTTTTTATGCTTATTTAAACATATACATGTTTTTAGTCTAAAATGTTATTTGTCATTTTTTGTATTTTCGTAGATACATGAATAACATCAACATATATGTTAAGTATGGCGACATAGTGCGTCGAAGCATTGGAAAGAATTTTGTGAATAGTGATGAATGTACAAAAATCTAACCAATATTTTTTTTCCTTTGTATATAACTCTACTTTTTAAATATTGTTTCATTACATTCATTTAATATATATATATATATATATATATATATATATATATATATATATATATATATATATATATATATATATATATATATATATAGAAATAGATAAGTAAAAAAAAAAAAGAGAGAGAGAAAAAAAGAGAGAGGGGATATGTGTAT